GGACACTCTGTATCTTTTGGAGTATTTAGTTCATATTTACATAATACAATTGCATAGTGTTTAAATCTGTCATCTAACTATGAAAGTATCTTGCCTGTTCTATATTCTCTTTTCCCCATTCATGCCTTTAGATTTATTATCTCTTATTTTTCTGTTTCCCCCTCTAATAACTTGATAATTATAAATTTCTAAAATTATTGGCTTAATGGTTAACTTTGAGATTAAAGCATGCATCATTGATTCAGCAGTCTTAGATTTTCTCTCTTCCCACACAACACAAGTATCTTAGAACAACTTATTTAACCTAATTTATATGTTGTTGAAATTATGTATTTTAATTGTATTTATATGTCAAATCTCATAAGACTATGTTCTGTGCAGTCAGTATTCATTTAGATTTATCTATATTTTTTATAGATTTTATAGATTTATCTATATCTCTTCATTTTTTTCTTCATTTCTAAGCTTCTACCTAGGGTTATTTTTCTTCTGCTTAAAGAATACTCTCTAATATTTAATTTTATTCACACCTGCCAGTATCCTATTCCCTCCATTTTTCTTTTTATCTAAAAATATTTTTAATCTTCTTTTTGGATAATATTTTTGGTAAGTTTAGACTTCTAGGTTGGCATCACATTCTTTCAGCATTGTGAAAATATCATTCCTTGTTTTCTGTCTTACATCAAATCTGTTGACCAGTCAACCATCTGTTTAATTCAGGAGTCAGCAAACCTTTTCTGTAAAAGGTAAGACAGTAGATATTTTAGGCATTGTGGAAACATAATAGCTCTGTTGCAACCACTCCATTTAGCAATTGTAAGCACAAAAGCATCCAAAGACAAAATATTAACCAAAGAATGTGGTTAAATTTCCACTAAAACCTTATTTATGGACACTGAAATTTGAAATTCATATGATTTTAATGTGTTACAGTATATTATCCTTATAATATATTTTTCAACCATTTAAAACTATATATTCTTATCTCACTGGCCATACAAAAACATGTAGTGGAACAGATTTGGCTGTAGTTTGCAATCTGTGACTGATTGTTTCACCTTGACAGAAATCTGTCTTTCAGTTTATTTTATATTTCCTTTGTATTTTTCCTACTTGGGATTAATTTGGCTTCTAATATATGTGGCTTGATATTTTTTATCTGTTTTGGAAAATGTTTTGGTGTTAATGTCTTTGAACTTGATTTCATCTCATTCTGACTCACTTCTCTTTCTAGTCTTCTGGGACTCTTAGAAGATAGAGTGTGATAGACCTTTTCTGTGATAGACCTTTTCACTCTATCCTATATGTCTCTGTAATGTTTTTTAAAATAATTTTTTCAAGTTTTTCATTATTCTGTACTTCAATATGCATATTTTCTACTGACTTAATTTCCATTTTAACACTTTCATGTGTCGTATCTATTGTGCTTTTAGTCTTTGAGTTCTTATTTTCCAGTTCTAGAATTGGCATTTGATTCTTATTTTATACTTTCCAATTATTTGGTGAAATTATTGGTCTTGTCTTATTTTCTTGAATGTACTAATCAGCATTATTTTAAGACCTCAACTGTCTGGATACCTTTTAGATCTGTTTCTATTATCTGTTTTTTCTCTTGAATTTTTTTTTTTCCCTCTCTTTTTTTTAAGATTTATTTATTTGAGAGAGAAAAAGAGCGGGGTGGGGGCATTGGGGGAGGAAGAGAGAAACTTTTTTATTTATTTATTTATTTTTTTATTCTTATGTTAATCCCCATACATTACATCATTTGTCTTAGATGAAGTGTTCCATGATTCATTGTTTGTGCATAACACCCAGTGCTCCATGCAGAATGTGCCCTCCTCAATACCCATCACCAGGCTAACCCATTCTCCCACCCCCCTCCCCTCTAGAACCCTGTTTGTTTTTCAGAGTCCATCGTCTCTCATGGTTCGTCTACCCCTCCGATTTCCCCCGCTTCATTCTTCCCCTCCCGCTACCTTCTTCTTCTTTTTTTTTTTTCTTAACATATATTGCATTATTTGTTTCAGAGGTACAGATCTGAGATTCAACAGTCTTGCACAATTCACAGCGCTTACCAGAGCACATACCCTCCCCAGTGTCTATCACCCAGTCACCCCATCCCTCCCACCCCACCCCCCACTCCAACAACACTCAGTTTGTTTCCTGTGATTAAGAATGGAGGAAGAGAGAAACTTAAGCAGACTGTGGGCTCAGCATGGAGCCCAACACAGGGCTCAATCTCACAACCCTGAGATCATGACCTGAGCTGAAACCAAGAGTGGACACTCACCAACTGCACCACCCACGTGCCCCTCTCTTGACTTTTTTCTAATGAGTCTTTTGTCTTCTTGTATGCCTATTAGTTTTCATTGTCAAGCATTGTTATGAGAATTTGAGGTTCTGGATTGTATAATCTTTTTCCATAGAGAATTATTTGCCTTGGTGGGCTGCTAGGATAAAGGCCGTAACCATCCCCAGTTACCTTAATTCAATTTAACATTTAAGTGAACTGGGTTCTAGGGGTGCCCTCTTTGGTGTCCCTGAATCCAAATCTTTGTCCTTTTTTTTTTAAAGGTTTTATTTTTAAGTAATCTCTACACCAAACGTGAGGCTCGAACTTACAACCCTGAGATCAAGAGTTGCATGGTCTACCAACTGTGCCAGCCAGGCGACCCTCAAATCTTGGTCTTTTTTAAAAAGATTACACTGTGCGGTGGTGGTCTTAAAACTTGCTTGTATATACAATTTGATATTTTACTCTTTTCAAAAAAAATTTATTTGAGAGAGAGTGAGCATGCATGCATGCACAGGTAGGGGGAGAAGCAGAGGGAGAGAATCCTCAAGCAAACCCTCCACTGAGTGTGGAGTCCAGTGGAGGGCTCGATCTTATGACCCATGAGATCATGACCTGAGCCAAAACCCAGGAGTCAGATGCTCACTGACTGAGCCACCCAGGTTCCCCAATATTTTACTTTTTTTTTTTAAAGATTTATTTGAGACCAAACACAAGCGGGAGTGGGAGAGGGAGAGAGAATCTCAAGCAAACTCCACACAGCACAGAGCCCAACTCGGGGCTCAGTCTCACAACTCTGAGATCACAACCTGAGCT